CCCCAAAACCCCAAAACCCCAAAACCCCAAAACCCCAATGATTAACAGGTTAATTGAGGTTTTGCTATAATTTTATAATAAAAATGTCATCTCTAACTCTCTGCTCTTCGTCCTCCCTCTCACCTGTTACTCGCCAAGACCTATGCCTGTTCAAGTCACTCTCCGACTTAAGCCCCAGTGACCAGCAGTTTCTTAAAGAAACTTCCTATGAAGCATGGGTAGCCAGTGCCTTGGTATTTTATATGAGTTATTTTGTGTAGGATTCTGAGTGGAAGATCAAGCTGAAGCAGGTCAGAGTCTTACCTGCTTGGGGTGTGGCGGTTAGGTTGGTAATTGAAGTGGGGAACAAAAGAACAGAAATAGAAATCAAAAAGATGTGAGCGAAAGTTTGATATGTGCTGATGATAAATGGATTAAGCTGGAAGTGCACCCTACCTGCTTGGGTGGCAAGCTTTTATCCTAAAGTTACTCATAAATGAGTATTTTACAACTTGAGATTAAACGAAAAGCAGATTCTTTATTTATTTAAAAGCATTAATCTTTGAAAGATATTAAGGTTTAACCATTGATCAATCAAAATTTCAAATAAAACTGCAACCTTCTGCAACAGCTACAGACTTACAGATATAGCAATCTCAAACATACTCTCACACACCGGAGAATGTCTCCCAACCAACAGTGAAGAAGTTGATTTCCTGATAACCCAAATCGGATATCTACCAGCCCCCTTAAAAACCCTCAAATTATTAAACCCCTTGACTTCCTCCCATCTTCAAGGCCTCCGGTGAACTCCTACTCTCCAAAAATCCATCATAATCTACAACTGAAGTGAGAGTGGGCCCCTCAAGTATCTTTGTCCTTCATAAACCATCAGAAAGCACAACTTTTCTTACTAGATAAAAATTTATTCTGAAAATTAGATTGATGGAGAGGGATTTTGGAAGGTTAAGATATTGTTTTGAGAGGATTTGGGGAGATTAGGGGTTTTGGGGTTTTGGGGTTTTGGGG